CCAGCATGTCGCGTTGAAGGCAGGGATGCGGGTCCCCAGACTCCTGACACACGGGGTGCATTATCTGCCCCCCCCCCCCCCCCCCCCCCCTGCCACTGACTCCCTCCAGCCCACCCTGTCCCCTCTCTATCTCGGGCCTGGGAGCTGTTTCCGGCTGATGCGGGTGGCTTATCTGGTGAAGGGGTGCCCCTTCCCCCAACCACTCAGGAAATGACCTCTGGATTCTTGACCCTGGGGAACCCAGGCTCCTTCCGCCCCAGCTGGTTCCCCTCCTGAGGATGGGCCCGACTCAGACACTCCCCCCTCCATCCAGTTCCTCGGGTCGCCTGTGTCTCTCCCACCCTACCGCCTCTTTCTAACCTGCCTCCGGCTCTGGGAATCCTGGGAAAGCAGGAGATTGGGGTTGGGTTTGGGGTGGAGGGAGAAGATACCTTCTGGGTGAGGGGTAGGGGTTAGAGACGGGGCTGCTGGACAAAGAGTGAACCGGCTCCTCTCTGCCCCTCGGAGCTAGATGACTCCGGGAAGGTGCGGGACCCGCAGCTGGTGCGCATGTTCCTCATGATGCACCCCTGGTACATCCCTTCATCCCAGCTGGCGGCCAAGCTGCTCCACATATATCCTTCCAGGTCTTACCCCGCAGCCCAGCCCCCTAGCCAGCCACTGGTCCCATGGGTTTCACTCTAGAGGCAGACCCTCTTGCGTCCCAGAGTTCAGGCTCAGCCCAGCCTCCCTAAGGCCCAGGCGGTCCTGACTGCCTCCCCAACCTAGGCCTTGCCCCCCGCTCCCTACAGACTGGGACCCTTCCCTACTGTCAGCTTGGTCTGCCTCTTGCCTCTGCCAGAAACCAGGCCCTGCTCTCCGCGCCCCCAGAATCTAGCCTCTTCCCTCTCACCTCCCTCCCCTGCTCAGCGCTCATCCCTCCCTGCAGCCTCTGTCCGGAGCCTCCGCCTGGGCCTGCCCCACCCCTGCTCCAGGTCCTTCCCCCAGCATTTCTCCTGGAACCAGGCCCTGTCCCCTGCCTCCCTTTCTAGATGTAGGCTGCACTCTGGTTTTCCTTAACTCTCTGTCACCTACCAACAATCCCGGAAGGACAACTCCAGCTCCATGCAGGTGAAAACATGTCATCTGGTCAGGTGAGTCCTCCCTCCTGGGGCACCTTCCCCTTCCTCCCCTGCCCCAGGCCCTGGCCTGACAGTTGGTCATGCGGGCTTGCCCCCGGGCTCTGTCCATGGTGGGCGTGTTGCCACAGGCCTGCCCGTTCTGGTCCTGGCCTAGGTTTTCTCATCTGTCCAAAGAGGGTGGAGAAGGACAGAGCCAGGACTGGGGGAACCAGGGTCTGAAGCTCTCTCCCCCTTTTGTGGGGAGTTACAACGGAAGGGGCAGGTGGGGGAGGGGCCACCTTGGGTGACTCCCACTGTCCTGCAGGTACTGGATCTCAGCATTCCCAGCAGAGTTTGACTTGAACCATGAGCTCGCTGAGCAGATCAAGGAGTTGAAGGCTCTGCTGGACCAAGAGGGGAACCGCAGGCATAGCAGCCTCATCGACATCGAGAGCGTGTGCGTGGGGGGAGCCTGGGGGCAGGGCAGGCGTTCGGCACCCTACACTGTCTGTGCTTAATAAATGTTTGTTAAATTGAATGAGTGAGGGTCATGTCCCTCTCTTGCTTAAAAGCCTTCTGTGGTTCTCTGTCGCCTTCAAAATGTCTCGGCTGGGGATTAGGGCCTCTCATGGCATCTGCCTCACCTTCCACAGCCCTGCGCGCATCCCACGCACCTCATCCCGCAGTCACGCGGGTCCACTCGCCATTCTCCAGCCCTGCATCCTCTCCCATCACCATGCTCTGCTCGTACCGCTCCCCTTGCATCTCTGTGTTACCACATGCAGCTCCGGCGTGGAGTGTCTGTGGGCTCGGGGGGCCCAGGCTTTTCCGGGGCAGGACGTGTTTTCCCTCCTCTGCTCCCCTGTGGCACTTTGTGCAAAGACCTGTACACACACCACGCTGTTTCGTGATTGTTTGTTTCTGTGTCCGTCTCCCTCAGTAGCCTGTGAGCTCCTCGGGGGCAGGACCCATGTCTTGCTCATCTCTGACCCCCCGCGTCTAGCACAGTGTCTGGCACAGAGTACGTCTTCCATGATTGCGTGTGGAGTGCATGAGGAGGGGGCGACTGCAGGAGCTCTGGGACCGGGGGCAGTGTGGAGGTCCTCAGTCAGCCCGAGTGGCATGTGTGTGCATGAGGGGGGGCGTCTCCGGCAAAGGGCTCACTGCCCTGCCCCCCCAGCCCCACCTACAAGTGGCAGCGGCAAGTGACCCAGCGGAACCCAGTGGGACAGAAAAAGCGCAAGATGTCCCTGCTGTTTGACCACCTGGAGCCCATGGAGCTGGCAGAGCATCTCACCTACCTGGAGTACCGCTCCTTCTGCAAGATCCTGGTGTGGCCCGAGGGCCTTCGGTCAGGGGTGGGGTGCAGGCTGGGGCTGGGGTCCCAAAAGGGCAGTATCCTTGGGGTGGGTGGGGTCACAGGGTGGGCGGCTGGTTTCAGTATAACCACCACAGGGCACCTGGAGGGGAGGAGTGGCTGTGGGTGAAGGGAGGGGCTCCCCAGGTCCTGAGGCTGCTCCCGCCCCCAGTTCCAGGACTATCACAGTTTTGTGACTCACGGCTGCACCGTGGACAACCCTGTGCTGGAGCGATTCATCTCCCTTTTCAACAGTGTCTCGCAGTGGGTCCAGCTCATGATCCTCAGCAAGCCCACCGCCCCGCAGCGGGCCCTGGTCATCACACACTTTGTCCACGTGGCAGAGGTCCTGTCCCTCCCTGTTCCCTCCCTGCCTCCCCAACTGCCAGGACCCCGCGGCCTCCTCTCCGGAAAAGCTGGGCCAAATTCTGGACCCATTCAGTGATGCCCCCGACTTCCGCCCCCCCCCTTTGTTCCCCAGAAGCTGCTACAGCTGCAGAACTTCAACACGCTGATGGCGGTGGTCGGGGGCCTGAGCCACAGCTCCATCTCTCGCCTCAAGGAGACCCACAGCCACGTTAGCCCCGAGACCATCAAGGTGCCTGGGGCCGGGGGGTCAGGGGAGCAGCCTCGTCCAGCCCTGGGCTCCGCCTGCCTTCCCAGGCCTGGCTCCCCTGGGAACTCACAGCAGCGGGTGCTGGGCACTCCCGCCCTCATTTGACAGAGGGGGAAACTGAGGCTTGGAGGGATCAAATGCTTTCGCCATGTTACACAATGAACGTGGCAGCGCGGGGCTCACAGGCCTGCCTGACTCCAAAGCTGCTGTTTTCTCCTCCTTTTGTCTTGCTTTGCATATTGGGTGACACACATACAGAAAAATCTATAAACATGTACAGTTAAAAGAAAGGTGAGAAAAAAAAAAGAAAGGTGAGGAAGAAAACACCCAGTGACACCACCCAGGTCAAGAGCTAGAACATCGACAGCCCCTGAAGCCCCCAGCGCCTTGGAGCATAACCCCCTCCCCGACAGAGTGACCAATGTCCCGCCTGTTGCCACGGTGACCCTGCTTTTCCTTATGGCTTTACCCCTCAGGCATGCGCCCCAAAACAACGTGGGTTTGTGTTGCCTGTTTTTGAGCTTTCTATAAATGGGATTATGTTGTTTATGTTCCTTTATATCTTCTTTCATTCTGTTATGTGGAACACGCGTTCATTTTCATCACTACATAATGTTTTTTTAATATATTTTTATTGATTTTTTACAGAGAGGAAGGGAGAGGGATAGAGAGTTAGAAACATCGATGAGAGAGAAACACCGATCAGCTGCCTCCTGCACACTCCCCACTGGGGATGTGCCTGCAACCAAGGTACATGCCCTTGACCGGAATCGAACCTGGGACCCTTCAGTCCGCAGGCCGAAGCTCTATCCGCTGAGCCAAACCGGCTAGGGCCCCACATAATGTTTTATTGTAAGTCCACTCCGATGTAGGATCTACTCCACAGTTGAACATGTGGGGTTTTCTGCACTCGGACTGTTAGAACGACACCCCCAAGAACATCGTTCTAATTATTCCGGCGCGGCTTTGCCTCTCTCAGCCTCAGTTTCTTCTCCTGTTAAATGTTGATGACCCGTGGCCAGGCCTGGCGTACAGGTGTGGTGCTTGGTAGTGGGTGTTCCCTTGAACTCATGACCTATTAACTCTGACCCTCAGGGGCGAAGGGAGCCAGTGCTGTGGGACAGTGCCTTTTCACCCATCCCTGACTCAGATCCTCATCCTCTCCCACATTTCTAGGGCTGAGTGGGGGGTGATGTTGAGCCAGTGATGGGTGTATGTGTGTGACCTTCCGCCCTTTGCCCCCAGCTCTGGGAAGGTCTGACGGAACTGGTGACGGCCACCAGCAACTACGGCAACTACCGGCGGCGGCTGGCAGCCTGCGTGGGCTTCCGCTTCCCCATCCTGGGCGTGCACCTCAAGGACCTGGTGGCCCTGCAGCTGGCACTGCCTGACTGGCTGGACCCTGCCCGGACCCGACTTAACGGGGCCAAGATGAAGCAGCTGTTCAGCATCTTGGAGGAGCTGGCCATGGTGACCAGCCTCCAGCCACCAGTGCAGGCCAACCCTGACCTGCTGAGCCTGCTCACGGTGAGGGCAGGCACCGGGCTGACGACCACGGCGGGCCCTGGGTCCCCACATGGCTGCAGGCCTGGCCGGGGGCTCTTGGTTTGGAGCAAGGGACTGAGATCCAGCCTGGGCTCCGGGCTTGGAGTGAATTCTGAGATGGGCTCCAGGCTCCGGGCTCCAGGCTCCGGGCTCCAGGCTCCAGGCAGGACTGTGGCCTGAGGTCTGCTCTCAAGGTTGGCGTGAGGGTCCTGGGTTGAGTTACCAGCAGTTCTGGGCTTGACCTTGGACCTGGTTTTGAGGTCTAGGGTGGGAGCTGGGTTCTAATCTAGATCTGAGCCAGGTTCTAGACACTGGGCTGGGGCTTAGGTTTTCGGTTTAGAGGGATTATTAGCTACCCCCAGGCTGAAGTCTGAGCTGGATTGGATTCTGAATGCTGGGTTGGCTTCTAGGTTGGGGGTGAATTTGAGGTCTTGGCTGGGTTCTGACCTGGATTCTTTTTTTAAAATTTTATTTTATTAACAGATAGGGGGGAGAGAGAGAGAGAGAGAGAGAGAGAGAGAGAGAGAGTGAGAGAGAGAAAGAGAGAGAGAGAGAGAAACATCAACATGAGAGAAGCATTTATTAGTTGCCTCCCATCATGCACCCGACCTATTGGTGTACAGGATGATGCACCAACCAACTGAGCCACACCGGCCAGGACCTGACCTGGCTTCTGGCTGAGGCCTTGACAGTGCACTTTGCTCGAGGTTTAGGGGGAGCTTGGCCTGTGGTCTGTGTGCTGGGCTGGCATGTGGCTGCTGCGGTGTGTTCTCAGCTGGCCTTGTCCTGAGCTTGTCTTCTGGCCTGGGCTCCGGCTGAGCTGCTGTCTCTGCTGGACCTGTGACCTGGGCTCCAGGCAGTGGGGTCCTGAGAGCAGCCAGGCCTGTGGCTGACAGACCTCTGTGTCGCAGGTGTCGCTGGATCAGTATCAGACGGAGGACGAGCTCTACCAGCTGTCCCTGCAGCGGGAGCCGCGCTGCAAGTCCTCGGTGAGAAGGGGACTCTCCTTCTCCACTCCTACCCCAGCCACTGCCCGCCCTTCCCCCCACCCGGTCCCAAGCCCAGGATGTGAGGGCCTTTATTTGGTGGGGAGTTTTCCCAGTGGGAGGGGTTAGGTGGGTGTGGGTGGTCCTAGGGCAGGCTCAAATCGAGGCTCCAACTTAGCACCCCTCCTGCCTGTTGTGCAGGTTCCCTTACCCTTGGCTTCTCCTCTCCGCTCCCCTGGGCTCTGGGCTCCCCCACCTCTGGCTCTCGCTCAGGCCTGACCATTCCCACAGCCAACCAGCCCCACCAGCTGCACCCCGCCGCCCCAGGCCCCTGTGCTGGAGGAATGGACCTCAGCGGCCAAACCCAAGCTGGACCAGGCGCTCGTGGTGGAGCACATCGAGAAGATGGTGGAGGTGAGACAGTGCGCCAGGCTCTGAAGCCTTAGGACGCTGGTTTTGCCAAGTTCAAGGGCCAGCACTCGCTCTCCGGAAGGCATGGGCTATGGGAGAGGGAGGTGGGGGGGGATGGACAGCTGCCCACATCTGGACACCCTTTCCCACGGACTGAGAGCGCAGGCAGGATGAGCTGATGGTGCTTTTTTCTCCTGTCCTCTGCGTCCCTCTCTGTCCCAAAGTCTGTGTTCCGGAACTTTGACGTCGACGGGGATGGCCACATCTCTCAGGAAGAGTTCCAGATCATCCGTGGGAACTTCCCTTACCTCAGCGCCTTTGGGGACCTCGACCAGAACCAGTGAGGAGGGCTGGGGCCGGGGAGGGGGAAGGCAAGCTCACTTCCCCTTGAGGTTCAGTTTCCTTCTGTGCACGGTCAGGCCATTGGACCAGACGCTCTCGGCAGAGAAAGCTGCCCCTGTGGGGAGGAACTCTTTTTTTTTTTTTTTTTTTAATATATTTTATTGATTTTTTACAGAGAGGAAGGGAGAGAGATAGAGAGTTAGAAACATTGAGGAGAGAGAAACATCAGCTGCCTCCTGCACATCTCCCACGGGGGATGTGCCCGCAACCCAGGTACATGCCCCTGACCGGAATCGAACCTGGGACCCCCCAGTCCGCAGGCCGACGCTCTATCCACTGAGCCAAACCGGTTTTGGCTGTGGGGAGGAACTCTTACTTACCCAGGGTCACAGGGCTCCTGAAAGCAGCCAGGCCTGTGGCTCACCCATTCCGACAGATGGGGCCTCCACCGGCATCTTACAAAGACGGTGGCCTGGGCACTGCTTCTCCACCAATGCCGTTTCATTTGCGGGGCTCCCAGCTGGTGCACAGTGTGGGCAAGTGGAACCCCTGGGTAGCCTGTTTTAATGAATAGATAAGAAAGGCCTGTAATTAGCACCCACTTGCTTATCAACAATTCACAAGCTGACAATTTGGACAAACAGCTGGTTGTCTGAGGTAGGTTAAATGTGCCCCCTGCAACCATAATCATATCTGTTTTGCTGAACAGATAAAATTCCAGTCAAAATTTACAGGTCAAGATATTTTTAAATGTTAAATGTTGACCTGTATTTAAAAACCTGGTTTTTTCCATAATGCAAAAATCCCTGGTTTAAAAAAATCAGGTGGTAAAATAGATTTGTAATAAACAAAGTGTATACAGTAAGAAGTGAAAAGTCGCCTTCCTCCTTTCCTAGCTGAAGAGGTTATTATCATAACTTCCTAGTAAGCCCCTTGGGTTCCTGGTTTGGCAATATGTGTATCCTTCCAGTCTTTTTTTCTTTTCTTTCATGCATGTGCAAATTGACAGATTTTGTTTGCCTGTGTTTGCGTCACGGACAAACAGAATTATAGCATAAATCCAGCTCTGCCCATGGTGTTTGTCGTAACTGTTTTGTTTCTCCACCCAGAGTGGAGACAGAGCTCCATGTTATCTCCCTGGGC